CGAGTTCACTCGCTTGTGTCTCATCCTTTCCATGGGAGTCCACCACAGGATCCCACCACTGGGTGGGAGGTCCTGGGACCCCCCTCCCCAAACCTCCAGCGGCCCAGAAATGGAGCCCTTTGATGTGAGCCATTTTTCTCAACCTTTTGTGACTTTTTAAGACAAGAAGAAATGTGGCGTAACGATTTTGTATTTTTTTTTATTTATTAAACAAATTCTACAATTAACAATTAAAAAACATATTTCCATTCATTACAGCATATTTGTAGTAGCGTTCACTCACTTTGACATATTCTTAAGTGTATAAAATATTACTAAATATTATTAGTTATTTTACATTTGATTTGCATCATATTTTCATATATTTACAGTCATTTACATATTTATACATAAGTATACATAATTATGTCTATTCATACCAAATTATTTCATCACACCCTAACCTTTCATTTCATCTCTCTATTTTGTGTCTACCTTGCAGCCAATTATACCATAAATTCCAAATTTTGTAGTACTCTGTCTCTTCTCTCTCCTTCATTTCCATTGAAAGCCTATCCGTTTCTGCACTCTCTAAAACCTTTTTTATTATCATAATATCAGAGGGAATGCTGTCACTTTTCCAATTCTGGGCAAAGTCTATTCTTGCTGCAGTTATTACTTGTAATATAATATATTAGAGTTTCTTACTTATTTTATCTCTTAATATACCCAATAGGAATGTCTCTGGTCTCAATTTTGTTTTGTAATTTCCTCCAGCCATTGCCTAATTTTAAACCCAATAATTTTTAGCTTGAGGGCATGTCCACCACATATGGAAATAGGTTCCCTGTTTATAATTTCCAAAAAATTGCTGGTCTATTTAGGGAACATCTTGTATTTTTTTTAATTGGGTAACTTTCTTCATAGATGTTGGGAATGTGGTAGATATATCTTGATTTCAACAAAATGAGAAAAGAAATAACCCCTGAAAAGCTAAATTATTTTAAAAGGTGGGGGGAGTTGATTGGCATGAGAATTAAATGGGAACTGATCTGCTGGCTGGGGGATTCTGGGAGTTGAAGTCCACGGGTCTTAAAAGTCAGAGAAGTTGAGGAACATTGCGGTAAGCTGTGTAGAAAATTGGCAGTGCTGCTTGGGGCATCTTAAGTAGGACATCATGCTCTCAGCGGGCTCATGAGGGATGTTTAGCAAGGCTGAGGCATCTGGGATTTGTAGTCCGCTCCCTTTGAGCTTCCTATTCATCTTCTCTCACCCCTGGGGAGGACAGATGCTGCTCAATATTTCGTGCTCTTGATCAATCCTTCTTGTTGGTCTCCCCAACAATTCCTTCAATTTATCTATATCCTTTATTATTATTTGTACAAACAAGTCCAGGCTGCGGAAGTGTCAAACACATCCTCCTCCTTTTCCTCCTCTTCCTCCTCCTCTTTTCCCAACCACAACATTCCTGTGAGGTGGCTTGGGCTGAGAGAGGGAGACTGGCCTGAACTCACCATCTCCTGGGGATTGGCCCAAAGTCACCTGGCTGGCTTTTCTAAGGTGAAACTAGAACTCCCTGTCTCCTGGTGATTAGCTCATAGTCACCCAGCCAGCTTTCCTGCCTAAGGGGGGACTAGAACTCCCAGGCTCCTGCTTTCCAGCCTTCTGTCTCAACCACTAGACCAAACTATTCTCAGTTGAATACAGCCAGCGAATTGAGCAAGGCCAGGTAGGGAATTCTGGGAGTTGAAGTGCCCAACGTCACCCAGATTGAGAACAAAAAAGCCCGCCATTTTTAGAGGGTGAGAGAGATTTCAAAGGCAAACAGGTGCCGGAGAGTTCAAGCTGCCACTTTGTCTTCTCCTCAGATCCGCATCGACAAGCTGGTGGACAAGTGGTCGGGCTCCATCTAGATCGGGGTCACCACCCACAACCGCAACAACCTGGAGTATCCGGCCACTATGACGAACCTGTGCTCAGGTGACTTCCCGACTAGTGCATATCCAGGGTGGGGATGGTGGGTGGTGGGCGGGGAGGAGGTCTCCGTTGGGGGCGGGGGGAGAGGACACCCCCTGGGGGAGGGGAGTCGCATGAGCCAGCCCTTGTCCCCACTCAGTTCTTGTCATGCTCCACTCAACCCACGAAGGAACCATTATGATGAGCGGCTGCGGGATTCTCACCAACGGGAAAGGTACCCGGCGGGAATACTATGAATTCAGCTTGGATGAGTTGCAGGTGAGCTCAACGCGCCCTTCTCATCCCCCTTGCCCACCCCCACAAGCTGGGGCTCCCCCCTCCCTCCTTTTTGGGCACCCCTCCCCTCCAGGGGTGGGTGTCAAGGTTCTGGCAGTTACTCCAATTAAATCATGAGCCTCGAGCTGCACTCCCAAAATTAAAGAGGATTTATTTGAAGCTACCATTCTACGTCCAGCACTAACCTGGGCGTAGCCAACTCTGAGATACGTAATTCACTGTCCTGCTTTTCCCCCCAACCCTTCTGGGTGTATCATCCAACGAAACATGTCCATAGCCAAGAGTCATCAATCATGCTCTCCAATTAGATTTTTTCGTGGCAGAAGCTTCAGCCATCTAATCAGTCTTTGAAGAAAATATGAATGGAATGTACTTTCGATTCCACACTGCCACCTGCTCTTTGAAACCGCCCCCCCTTCTTTCTGTTGTCAACTATAAAATGTGTATACAAAATGTTTTATAAGTTGACAATAGGCTCCAAATAATTTAGCAACCAGTTCTCTGCCTGGTTGCTGGGTGGGCGTGGCCATAGTAGACGTCCTCTCTTTGGCTACCTGCACCACCCCAGGAGCGAAAATGGAGCCACGGGGGGGGGGGGGGGGGCCTTTCCCCCCCCCTGGGCCCTGGAGACAGGAAACTGGACCATTTCCGACCTTCCGGAACTTCCGGGAGGCCCGTTTTTCTCCCTCCCCGAGCCTCCGCACGGACCCTGCTGTCAACTCATAAAATATTTCCCTGGTCTTTTTAGAGTTGCCAACAGAAAGGGAGGGGGGAGCAGTGCAGCAGCTTGGAAACCGAAAGTGCATTCCATAAATGTTTTCAAAAATAGTAACTAGGCGACTGAAGTTTCTGCCGTGCAAAATTCTAACTGGACAGCATGATGGATGACTCTGGCCTATGGAGGTGTCCCATTGGAGAATATGAATTATGATACACCCGAGAGGTGGAGGGGGAGACCAGGGTCAAGGGGGACAATGAATGATGTGCCTCAGAGTCCGCTACACCCAGGCAGTGCCGGACTTGTTAACTCCCAATAAATCCTTCAGAAATTTAGCTTGAGACTTGTGATTTAAATGGGGGAACTGCCAGAATCCTGACATCTGCTTGTTTTGCAATCCAAAACGAGCCATGTGAGGATTCTTGGGAGGAGCGGGCAGGGTGGGGCAGGGCCAGCCAGTCGCCAGAACGACCAGTTCGCCAAACCAGATGTAAAAGTTTCAACAGCCAGTTCGCCCGAACCGTTGCAAACCATTAGCAGCCCACCCCCCATCTCCTTGGAGAAACTTCCCACCCTGCTTTGTGTCTTCCCATCACAGGAAGGCGACCACATCGGTTTGACCCAGAAATCCAACAACGCCGTTCACTTCTACATCAACGGCATCGACCAAGGTGGGCACCGTCGTCTGGGATGAGAAACAAAGCTGGGGCTGAAGAGAGGGGGGAAAATGGCGATATTTCTTGAATGATGACTGCAATGCATGATGTTTTGGCCCCAAATCTGTGTTTACTTCCAATGTTTGGCCAAAAAAACACGGTTTCATTTAAAGCAGCTACATCGGCTTAAATATGGCCGTGTTTACAGGTGCTCCTCAACGGCAGTTCATTTAGTGACTGCAGTTAGAACGGCACTGAAAGAAGTGACTTACGACCGGTTTTTCCGCACTGAAGAGCCGTCGCAGCCTCCCAACGGACTCAGGGATCAACATTTGGACGCTCGGCAACCGACTCGTATTTATGATGGTTGCAGTGTCCCGGGGGGGGGGGGGGGGGGGGGGGGAGTTTGGATTCGCTTAACGTCAAGGTTTTTAACAAGTGCAGAGGGTTCACTTAGCGACTCTGGCGAGGTTGGCCGTAAAATTCAGTGAACTGTCTCGTCGTAAGTCGAGGACTGCCTGGACTTAACGACCAGGTTCTGCCGAAGGGCTCCAATGAAAGAGATTCTTTCTGGAGGTTTAGTCCCACCACCCCACAAACCCCCCTGCCCCCCTCCTCCTCCCCCAAGCGACCAGTTCTCTCCTTTCCCATCTGGGGTTGATTTTATTGGTTAATGATTTTATTCGCTGTGTTTCTATGATTGTGGATTTTAATGTTTCTTAATGCTTTAATGTTTTTATGATGTAACCTGCCCGGAGTCGTTGGATAGAAGATGGGTTGCAAATTTCATTAATAAATTATTATTATTATTATTATTATTATTATTATTATTATTATTATTATTATTATTTTAAGAAACTGATACCTAGGATGCTGGCAGCAACCAGTCAATTATATTTGTGATCTTGTTGACTGAGTTTCATGTTTAATGAATAAAAGTTTATAATAATAATAATAACAATTATAATAATATCAACCATCAGAGCCAGTCAATGAGATTTGTGATACATTTTTAAATGTTCAGTTGAATTTCATGTTTAATGAATAAAAGCGATTATTATTATTATAACAATTACTATTATTATTTTCATCATCTCTTTTATTCATTAAACATGAAAGTCAACTGAACATTTAAAAATGCATCACAAATGTCATTGACTGGCACTGGTGGTTGATAGGATTTGCTGCCAGCATCCTAGCTATCAACCAAGTACCTTCTTAAGATGTCCGATGTTCCGAGTAGCACAGTTGTTTTTCAGTTCTGCTGGTACTGTGTAAAATTCTTGAACATGGTGCCAAGTGCCCCAATGACAATGGGTATCACTGTCACATGTTTCCTCCATAATCGCGTAGTTTCAATGGCCAGGTCACAGTATTTTGTGGTTTTTTTTCCCCAGTTCTTTTTCTTCTACTCTGGCGTCTCCTGCTACTGCGATATCAATAAATTGTACGTTTCGGTGGTGATAGTAGTATTGTTATTATTATTATTATTATTATCATTCATTAAACATGAAACTCAGTCAACTAAACATTTAAAACTATATCACATAATTGACTGGCGCTGATGGTTGATATGGGTTGCTGCCAGCATCCTAAATATCAATAACATCATCTTCTTTTTCTTTTTTCTTCTTCTTCTTCTTCTTCTTCTTCTTCTTCTTCTTCTTCTTCTTCTTCTTCTTCTTCTTCTTC